CCTAGGCCATTGCTAGGATAGAAGAATAAAGTCCACGCTTTAGGCAGAAATTGCTCAGCGCTTGCCCGATGTCGCTGCTGCCGCTGGGAGCAGTCCAAGCAGTCTGTCAAAGCAGCCAGCGGAATGGACTCCGTGTATGAGGCCGTGATGTTCTAAGATGCTCTTAGGATGCTGGAAAACACTGAAATCAAAACAAAAGCATCTGAGGCTGTCATACAAACTGTTAGCTCCTGGATGCCCCTTCTAGAACATGAAGCAAGGGCCTGTTTCACTTGGTGCATCATGAGCCACGCGTTTCTGAATTGTCTTGGCCATCACGTAGCTGCTTCCTTGATCCAGCAACCGAGTGGCGTGACCGCTTCATGGCCAAGTCCACTTCTGCCCCTGCAAGCAGTTTCCACGACTCACGTGGGCACACCGGCCTACAGGGAGAGGTTCAGCAGACACAATCTCCGAGGTTTTGCAGACAGTAGTGCAGGGAGGTGCATTCATAACACTGTCATTTGAGTGACATATGTAAAAATAAATCAGTAATTTAGGGTTCCAAATCTCCAAAGGAGACCTTTACATGTAAACAGGGGTACAGGGGTGGCGCGCCAAGGCGGTGAAGACAGCCTGCATGCTCCCTGCCATGATGCAGGGCCACCTTCTACCACTGCTCTTCCCCATCCCGCAGGAGAGGCAGCAGGGTGGGCTTTGCTCCCTCGGTGCTGGCTGGCTTCCTGCAGCTCTCCTTGTTCCTCCCACTTGTGCATGGTGGCCGGTGTCTGCTTGACCTCCATGCCTCATAGTCTGATACCGAGGCTCTCACAGGTGTGTGGCAGGCGATTCATTGCTTTTCCAGCTGAATGACTCTCGCTGTGGCTCCATGCCAGCCACTTTCTGTTGCATTGGTCCTCCTGGCCCTGCAAGGCCTGAGCATTTTGTGAAGTGTCGCAGCATTCAGGCTGACAGTTTGCATGCCTTGTGACAGCCAAGAGAGATGCCTGCTCGAAGTACACGCCAGGCTCCCAGGCACCACTGCCCACACTGGGCTTGAGAAGTCATAAGGTGTCTCATAGGACCCCACGTTCTGACCCTGTCATTCTCGAATATAGATAACTTAGAGAGAACTTACAACCCTTCCAGGGAGTCTCAAGTTGAACAGCTCTGTTTATCAAATTGCTGAATTCGCCCTTCTGAATTCAATGACTTTTAACACTAGCCTTAAGTCAAGGTCTGAAACCCAGGCGACCACCAGGAGCCACGTAACCCAGCTCAAAGAGGGGCTTCACAGTGTCTCTGTGCCGCTCTTGGCTTATGGGAGAAACCAGGTTCCACAAGAGAAAGGGAATTTACTGTGGAAAAGGGCCTGGGATACTAAGTTAGACTCCCAAGACAATGCCCGATTTTACTAGGGAGCCTTAAAAGAGGGCTGTCTTACAAGTACACGGTGGCTGTTTTCATTGACAACACTGTTTCTACCTACCCCTTAGTACAGTATACCCAAAGAAGCCAGGGAGTAAAAATACGCTTTCAATTACATAGCACCAAATATGACTGTCAACTTTACCTAGAAAAAGTTGTTTGTTTTTTTTTTTTGAGTTGGGGTCTTACTCTGTCACCCAGGCTGAAGTACAGTAGCACCATCATAGCTCACTACAGCCTCTAACTCCTGGGCTCAAGTGATCCTCTTGCTTCAGCCTCCTGAGTAGCTGGGACTACAGGCACTAACATACTGGGCTGATTTCTCACTATGTTGTCCAGGCCCATCTCCTGGCCTCAAGAGATTCTCGCAAAGTGCTGGGATTACAGGTGTGAGCCACTGTGCCTGTCCTGAGAGAGTATTTTTTAAGGGGCTCAGAAAGAGAAACGCTGCATGGAAAGGTTTAAGCATATTTTAAAGTTTAAATATTAAATCTTTCACACATTTTCTCCTCACGTGGAAGGCACTAAATAAGTTACACTTAAATGTCCTACACACACACACACACACACACACACAACTAGACGCCTCTCCTGAAAGAATGAGCAGACAATATTGAAAACGGGAGCTACATATCCAATTCCAATGACATTAAAAACCAAAATAAAACATAGGCAGAGTGAAACTTTCACAAATGGAAGTAAATTTATTCGCGATTCCTCTCCCAAGACGGTTCTTCTTTAAAGAACTTTAGTTCTTCACTAAAGAGAAGAACTCTTTCCGGGATGAGATGCCTCTCACTCTGACAGATGTAAATAAAAACAGACTTCCCGCTGCTCAGGAGCCTGGTGTCCTTCAGTCAGCAGAGCTGCCACTGGGCGTTAGGGGAAGTAGGTCAGCAGATCATCTGGATGGGCTGCCTGCACACGGGCAGGGCTTGTTCCTCTTCGTCAGTTTCCTGGCACATGGGAAACAGGCCATGAGGTGTCCGGTTCTGCCGTGCACGATGCACCCGTTCTTGGGTCGGCCCTGGCAGATCAGGCACGGCTGGATGGTGTTGAGGGGAAAGGTGGTCTCCACGCCGTCCTCCCTGTCCTTCCCTGTCTCTTTCCTGTCGAGCTCCCAGAAGTCCCCCTGGCTGCCGCAAATGATGCTACTTGAAGTGGACGGCTGGGAGTAGTCCTCGCTCTCCTGCGAATGGGAGGCTGGTGTGGCCTTGTCGTAGCTTTCCTCAGGACCCGACTCCTTGGAGTCGCTCGCTGCAGTCTTCCTGCAGTCAGGGAAGATCGAAGCCCTTCTTGGCCGGCGCCGAGTGCCCCGGTGTGGCCTTCTCACAGGGGCCCCCGGCCCTGTCCTCTGTCCTCAGGAAGCCAGTTCTCACGCAGGGCCCAGCACCTGTTGCAGTGCGACGGCAGGGGAAGGTTCAGCTCGCTGCACACCGTGCCTTTCCAGCAGTCAGCTAAGGAAATTTCCGGATCTTCTTGAAAGGAATCGGTATCGTCCTCCCGGACCTGGTGCACAGTAACCCGATATACCTCATCATCTTCATCGGAGAGTTCTCCTTCTTCACTAGGGCCGAATCTTCTGAATCAAGAGATTCAACTTCAAATTCTACGCTACATTGATCTGAAACTGAATCCTGATCCAGCCAATCATCTGAATGTTCATTTACACCAGCATCAAGATCCGGGCTGGACTGTGACCCCGCGGAGTCGCTGCTGCTGCCTCGCTCGAATCACACACAGGGTTAGGCTCTGGTCAAACGACAGCGAGAGGCTCTCTGACTTTGTGCCGTTTCCTCTGGTGCTCGCGGGGCAGTTCGTGGGCGTTCGCTTCTGTCCCACTGACGGTTCTCCTTCCGGATGAGGCAGATGGACTGGAAGCCGCATGTGAAGACCAAGGCTTCTCTTCCTGTAGCACAGGGTCCTTTTGATCACTCCTGCCTGCAGGGTGATACCTGCCCTCACTCACAGATGTGCCAGAGACTGAGGGCTCCTGCTGGTTAACAGCCACCGAGTTTCTGTAGATCATTGTATGTACTTTCCCGTGCTCCTTCACAGAGAAGCTGGGCACACCGAACAAATCTCCCAGCAGGTCGTTTGAGCAATACGCAAGGTGCTGCTGATTCTTCCATACAGGTGGTTGGTCATGATGCACTGGCCGAGGTGAAGGAGAACCGCTTTCTTCGTGTGTCTTTTTGTGCACCGACAGACGGTAACAACTTCAAAAGCAACGGCTTGGGTCTTACCAGGGTCTCCTGCTCCGCGCGCGCCCCGCCGTCGGGGG